AGTTATGGAAATCATATTCCACTAACATCCTTTACTAGTCGAAAAAATTTTTTGTCAAATGCATATAAAAAAGGAGAATACTTAAAAAATCCAGCTATGATGAATCAGACGGTAAATCCAATGACAGATCCGGCAGGAATGGAAATGATGATGGAAGGAATGAAAAAGAATTTTTTGATGATTATACCTCAAACCATTATTATGGGTTGGATAAATTTTTTTTTTTCAGGATTCGTTTTGAGTAAGTGAATTTTAAAATTGATAGAATTTATTTTAATACGGATGGGTGAACTTTAGTATAAGTGGGCATGATGATTAATCATTAATTTTTTTATATGTACATGTGATCCACATAGAGCCTGCTCACCTATACTAAAGTTCAAAAAAAAGACATTGGCCACTGGTTTATTTCTGGTTGCTAGTTTGATTTTGTTATACTAAATTTTTTTTTAATGCTTTCAGTTAAATTACCTTTTCCTCTTACTCTCCGTTTTAAATCTATGCTCCAACGTGGTGTGGAAACACCTGATATGGATGTTACATGGGTTTCATCTTTATCATGGTATTTCCTTAATCTTTTTGGATTAAGAAGTATATTCACATTACTTCTGGGTGAAGATAATGCAGCAGATGGTATGCGTGATATGACAGCAATGTCACAAATGGGTGCATCACCTACGGGACAACCACAAGATTTTTATAAACTTCATCTTGCTGAAAGAGAAAATCTTTTGCTGACGCCACACGATTGGGAATTAGGAGATATAGAGCACAGATTACTTGTACAATATGGTAAAAGGAAGCCAAATCCTATTTCTGAATCGGTTGAGATTAGTGATTCTGAGGAAAAAAGTATAGGACCATCTTCAGAAAATAAGGGTAAAGGACGAAGAAAAGGTGGTAAACGAGACTGACAAAATAAAATTAGATTTTTATCAAATAAATATTGAATATTAAATTTGAAGTCAATCATTTGTTTATTTTGTTGGTGAGTACGCAGTTTAACCTAAGCATAGTTAAGTCATGTCTGACAATTGTAAATGTTTTGGTTTAGTAGCTGCTATGATCCCGTCAAAAGTAAAAACTTTCTGATTACTTCCAACTATATCAGTCACAGTTGCTCGTATTTTTACAAGATGCATGGTTGGATTTTAAATACAACTCTTAATACTCGAAACTAAATTAATGTATTGCTTTTATTTACATAATAATTATATTTTTTCTATTATATTGAAGAGATCTAAATGTACAATATTTTTTTTG